TCATGCACCCAAAAGGTAACAAGACAATAGGGAATCTTCAGTAACTTGGTGGAAAACATTATGCAGTATTTATGCATTTTGGAATGCAAAATGTCCATTTCATCTGACTGTCAAGATAGAGTTTATCCAACTCTGAGTAACATGACTCATAGGTGATGACACAACCAGCTGAGGATGGCACTCTGCTAGGTAAACATCCCTCACTATGTACACAATCCTAAGATTCTGGCATTCCTTCTATGCTGATTTTTTATTACTATATTTGGTTAGTAGATATCAATAGGATTCCACTGATAGCAAATTTGATGTAGACCTTGTCTAGAAATTTACCATGAAATTATGTGAATTATATTAATATAAATAAAGACCTACTTTACAGCCATGCATTACTCACTATATATACTAATCTAAACAAAATTTTATCACTCTTTAGTTAAGTACTTTATGACATTCTAAAGCACACTCACCTGTGATACTACAACAGCTAGAGCAACACAGCGACATCTAATCCTTAGCCGCACCATGTTGCCTCTCCTACATGTCTGAGGAATAAAACTGGTTTGTAAATGAAGATTTTTGAGGAATAAAACTGCTTTGTAAATGAAGATTTTTAAGAAAAAGGGAATGGGAAGGAGAACAGGGAGAGAGAAGGAAAGAGGGGGGAGAGGGAGGGATAAAGAGGAAGAGGAAGGGTAAGGGGAGGGATGGAGAGAGGAAAGAGCGCTGGGAATTTCACATGGAGAAAGGAAAGAGGGAATGGATTCGCAGCAATTTTGTATCCGAGTGAAATGATTGTTTTAAAAGCAATTAAATGGATGAAAATGTATCCCAGACCCAGGAGAAAAGTCTGGTATATAAAAAGAAATGGACTATGATACTCAAACAATCAGAGGACCAAGAGAAGAAAGTGATAATGAAGAAAACCCAGATCCCAGACTTGCCCAAAGACATGAAGCCAGCAGAAACTTAGAATTTCAATAACACTACAACCAGGCAAGATGAGAGTTTAAAGCACATAATACTAATAAATTTAACTGAGGAACCTGACAAATCTAACTTTCATAATCCCATCAAACTTACAGATGCCCTAAACAAATCTATATTTCAAAAATATATAATAGGAGACTCCTTCAAAGACCTAGGTACTGGTAGAGCTGTAAGATTTGAGGTGAATAGTCTTACTAAAATACCTCCATTAAACCAAATCACAAAACGTAGAGACTAGAATATCTTTTGCAAGCAACCGACTTCAAACAAAAACATGGGTTGTCCCTACGGTACCATTTCCCAGTAGAAACAGAACTGGAGCCGAAAGAAATAATAGGCAAAATAAGACCACTGCTGGGATATGATAGTGAAATTGTGGAAGTGACCAGAATTAACACAATAAATAATGACAAACAAAGCTAAAAAAAAAAAAAAAGGTTACCAACAAAACCTCTAAGGATAACCTTTAGAGGTCCCTTACTTGAAAAAGTAGCCTCTGTACACACATCAATACATGTTTCCCATACCTAAATGTTTTAAATGTCTGAGATATGGTCGTGGAATTATGATGTGTAAAAATATAATGAAATGTAACAGAGGCAGTGAATTTAACTGTGACTACAAACACTGCACAAATAACCCTTATTGCTTTTTCTGTGATCAGAACCACCCACCAATGAATGAAAAAATGATTGTAAAATATTAAAAAAGACATAACAAATAAACAAACAAAACACAACACCCAACAACCTCAACATTAAAGACAGAATAGAAGCTCTGGGCATAAAATAAATCACAAAAACAACTGGACTAATATCTTATTGCTGTACAACCCATGCAATAATCAAACCAGAAAGAAATAGAATATTACACAGAACAAATAGATTTATAATAGGACTTTTATGGTCACAACAAACACTGGAACCCCAAAATAAACAAAAACAAACAAATATAACAGGTAAAAGCCTATTCAAAGTAGTTCAAGAAAATAATACCATTTTAATAACCCCCCAGGTCAGACCACAAGAATAGACCCCAGAAATACAAAGGAATCAATATTAGACTTCGTTTTAGCATCACCTATAAGCCACTTACAACTTGATACAGGTCCAAACTTAGGTAGTGATCACCTACCGGTAATAATATGAGACGACACAATAAATAAGCCCCTTAGTTAAAAGAAAAGAAATGGAAATTCAAGAAGGAAGGATTGATAAGTTACCAGTACAAATTAAATAAAGCTATACAACAAATATAAGTTCCCTCGGAGAAATAATAGACCTTATAAAAGACATTGGCGAAAAACATTTTAAATTTGAAGTATATGCTAAAAAAGAAAAACCTAATAAACCATGGTAGAAGGCTAAATGCAAAGATATTGCAAAAGAAAGAAATAAAGCCAAGAACAAATGGAAAAAAGACCAAATAATAAAAATCTAGGAGATTATAAAAACACTATTACTAAAAGTTAAGCAAGTTATAGAGGATGAAAAGAGTGTCATGGGAAAAATTTCACACTTCAATAGATTTTAATATCCCATCGAAAAAGATCTGGAACTTTATTAAAAAATAATAAATAAATAAATAAATAAATAACAGGAAAGACAACACAAAGTAACTACCCACTAATAGATAATGACCAACCTATCTCAGAAATAAAAAACAAATTAGAAGAATATCAAAACATAGTAAATAATCATACAAAAAATTGCTGACAGATACTGAGAGGGAAGAACTTCTAAAAAAAAACAAATAACACATAAATAAATGGCAAGATAACCTAGAAAGAATTAATTCAAGCAAGAGTAAATACAAAAAATAATAAAGCATATGGCTGCCATTTACAATAACAAAAGAAAATCACAACAATTTGGAAACTACTGAGAAATGCACAAATCTTAAAGGCTAAATTAAATGCAATAAAACAAGGTCTGAAATATATAGACTGTGATCTCTACAGATTCAATCTCATCAATATTAATACTACAAAACCACAAACCCAATAATTACAAACAAATCAAATACTAAACACAAAAACAAATTTACTCTTCAGCAATTCAAAGTCATAATGCCACAATACAATGGATTCCAGCACATAAGAGAATTTTAGATAATGAAATTGTAGACCGTGCAGCAAAGCTAACGAATTAGATGACTCCACAACCATAACCCAAGACACCAACCACATAATAAAAGCAAACAGCAAAATACATTGGGAGGAACAGTTTAAGTATAGAAGTGCACAATTATACATAGCATATTTTTTTGTTCCGTAGAGCCATTCCATCTTGCAATTAATTTTTTTTTGTTCCAATCATTCCCAGTGCAACATGACTGAATCTGTTGTTTTCTATTGCAATTGATTAGTTTGGGGAATAAGTGAAAGTACTGGTAATTATTCATCAAATAAATAGTCAATAACCTTTGGGGCACTCTTGGGAACCCATAAACATAACCAAAAATGGCTAGCTGTTGTACTGTACTGGTTACTTCTCAAATGGTACACAGTATTTTGGAATATAATGACCTTGATGGCTTTTGATATTGTGGGATATGTGTTAGGAACCCATAAACATTGTTTATGGGTTAGAGATATCCAATTTAAGTATGAATATGTATGAAATATCTGAAGTAGGAGAAATGCAACTGGCAACTTGATAAATGTTCACCGTCTACTCAATCCCTGTCGCACGAGAGGTATTGCATTTGCCTTTTTAGCTGGAAAAGACAGCATTAGTGTCTGAGGGTGCAGTCCTCCTGCAAACTCTTTCCCATGACAGTAGTGATATTGCAAGATGATACAACATATTTGGTAATAATAATAACAGTAAAGCTGGGAAAACATACTGACCTGGTAAAACAGCCATTGTGGATTGACAAAGTAACCTGTTTCTTTATTTTCCTTTGAATTAATGTGACTCAGGTTACTTAGACAGTTCTAGAGTAACACACTTTTAATTTTAATGATAATATTGTAATAAGTCTTCAATAACTTTTTTTCTAATCATTCAGTAAATCAACACAAACAAGCAATTCACTGATACTAGTTCACAAGTATTACTGGGAATCTTTTAACAAAAACATAGAAACTTAACTCCACCTTTTCAAAATATAAAATGAAATACCACGTCATCAACAACCAAATGTATTAGGAAATGTTTGTTAGTATGTTTAGCATGGTTACAATAGTTTTCTTTCATTCATTCTCTTACACTTTTTCATCTACGGTAATTTTTGCTTTCTTATTTCTATCTTAAAGTGAAACAAGAGTAAATGGCAAGCTTTGTTGATAATTGGGCAGATAAAAACAATTGTTTCTTCATGTTTTTCTTGATTAATACAAAACGACAAGCCCTTATACATAACATATCTGATCAAATATATGTTGATAATTTTATTCACTAGTATTTACTTGGGCTATAATTCAAGGAAATCAGTCAATCAACTTTAATATTTGGGAGATTTCACTTACTTTCGCCTCAAGAGAATGGAAGCCCAACTTTCTCACGATTCTTCGTTTTGCACTGTTGGCGAGATTCGGCTGACTTTGAAGAGACTTAGAGATAAGAATCGCAAATGCCTGAATAGAAACAAACAAGCCTATAATTGAAAACACTAATAAGGTTTTTTATCCAGTAAATTGGTTCAAACCGTTCATTGTTCAGGAAAAAAAAATCGTATAGGTGAAGATTTCAAACCAGGAGCAGTGGGCTGCAGTACTCATAAATCTAGAATATTAAACAAATATTACCAAAATTCATTGATTATGAAGTGATGTAGTGGAAATTACTTATGATTGTGCAAAATACAGAAATTATGAATGAAGACAGAAAATATAAAATGTGTTGGATGAGACCTTAAAAATATAAACAAATAACTATAAATGATTTGATATATTTCTCTTTAGGGTATTCAGTACTTCCTTGATGCATTGAGTCTTCGTAATCATATTATTCAAATCTCTTACTGCTCCACTTGGAACCAATTACTATTATTTTGGAACTAGAGGTTTG